AGTCACTCCCAGTATGATCCCAGTATGATCCCAGTCACTCCCAGTATGACCCCAGTATGATCCCAGTCACTTCCAGTCACTCCCAGTATGATCCCAGTATGATCCCAGTCACTCCCAGTATGACCCCAGTATGATCCCAGTCACTTCCAGTCACTCCCAGTATGCTCCCAGTATGATCCCAGTCACTCCCAGTATGATCCCAGTCACTTCCAGTCGCTCCCAGTATGATCCCAGCTATCTCCAGCACCATTCCAGTTGCTCCCACCACCAACCCAGTCACTCCCAGCAGGACTCCGTTCGCTCCCAGCGCGGTCCCGGCTGCTCCCAGCCCAAATCCTCCTCCTTTGGAGACATCGGGACCAATCCCCACGGAAAAGGGACCCCTCCATCCCCAGCCCAGCCCATTCCCATTCCCATTCCCATTCCCATCCTCACCCGGGCGTCCGCGTTCTGCGTGGCCTCCCGGATCTTGGCCACCCACTCGCTGAGCTCCTCCTGCGTGTCCGCGGCCACGTCCAGGGACTGGGCGGCGTGGGACATCTGCTGGGAATGGATGGTGAAGACAAATGGTTTGGAGCTCCTCCCGTCTTTGGAGATCACTACAAGGACACCAGAGGGGGGCTTTACTCGGAGGCATTCCCAAGGGATGGCTCTGGGGGGCAAACGAAACCTCAGCGGTCCCACCAGCCCCTCCTGGCACCCCCACGGCCCGGCTGGGTCCCCCCGGCGAGGATCCCGAGTTTTTTTAACGTGTGGATTCAGTTTTCCGCGCTGAAACGCGCTCGGAGCCCCTGGATCATCTGGATGTCCCAACTCCTCGGAATTCTCCCCAAATCGGCTCCAACCTTGGAATTCCTCCCAGATCAATCCCAACCTCTGAATTCCTCCAAATAAGTCCCAACCTCCGAATTCCTCTGAAATCATTTCCAACTCTTCAGAATTCCTCACAAATCAGTCCCAGCTCCTCAGAAGTCCCCCCAAATCAATCCCAACCTCAGAATTCCCCTGAAATCAGTTCCAACTCCTCCGAATTCCCCACAAATCAGTCCTGAATCCTCAGAATTCCCCCCCAAATCAGGCAGACGGGAACTCACCGACGTGGCAGGATGGGACGTCGATGAATCCCTTCAGGAAGTTCCCCAGGGGGCTGTTTTCCGAGGACTGGAAGAGAGGAAGGAATAAGGGAGATGGAGGAGGCCTGTGGGGCCNGATGATGATGATGATGGAGATGATTGCAAGGGTTTGGACTATCTGACCATTAAAAGTCTTTTCCAACCCAAACCCTTCAATGATTCCATGACTTTATGATGGAGATGATTGCACAGGTTTGGACTAATTGACCTTTAAAGGTCCCTTCCAACCCAAACCCTTCTACGATTCCATGACTTTACGATGGAGATGATTGCAAAGGTTTGGACGAGTTGACCTTTAAAGGTCCCTTCCAACCCAAACCCTTCTACGATTCCATGACTCTGCCAGAGATGACGATGATGGTGGAAAGACCATACCTGTTTTGAGGCCCTTGACAGGGAAGGTGGCCTGTGCCAAGAAGTTGGGGTCACTGAACATGTCCTCCTCGTACACCACGAAGCGCAGGAAGGCGAACTCCGGGTTGTTGATGTCAAAGACAAACTGCTTGAAGAGCCACACGGGGTTGAAGCCGTTGTCGGCTGCGGGTGAGAGCGGGAAGGGTCAGAGCCGGGCTGGACACACGGACATCACCCACACGGCACCGGCACCCACACGTCCCCTCACGGGCACAGTCAGGGTCGTACCGGCGTCCCAGGAGCGGGAACATCATCCCCGCGGTCCCTCACCTACGACATCCGTCTTGTTCTTGCTGTTGTCGTACTCGGAGCCGCAAACCTCCACCTCCACGAAGGGGCACACGATGCTCCTCCCGTTCTTGGGCAGGTGTCGGGCGCCCAGGATCTGTGGGAGGAACGGGACGAGCAGGAGGGTGAGGAAGGACCTCCAAGAGTAACCAACCCCATGTGGCTGGAACACATAAAACCCATGCCAGGCTGACCCAAAACTGAAGGAACAAGTCCCCACCTCGGCGGTGGCCACCTCCAGGTGGTCCTCGCCCACTTGCCTGCAGTTGAACCGTGATGGGCTCCACGATCTTCAGGCTGTTCTTGTCGAAGGGGTCGAAGGTCTCGTCCCTCATGATGTCGGGCTGCAGGACGTACCCGCTGCGGCCCCCGAGCATGAAGAGCGCCTGGTTCAGCTGCATCGGTTTGTCTGCGGCCACGGGACAGAGCAGAGCTGAGCCCTGGGGCGCCGGGGCCTCCCTGAGGTCCTTGGGCAGAAGGTCCTGCCTTGGCAAACCCAACTAGGAGCCCCCAACTCTGGTTGGAGCAGGGATGAAGCCGGGTTTTGAGTGAAGGGCCCAAGGATTGTATGGAGATGTCCCCATCGGGATGAGGGCAAAGGTTGGAGAGATCACCCAAACCATCTCCTGTGTCCCCATCAGGACCAAGGTTGGAGAGATCATCCAAACCATTTCTTGTGTCCCCATCAGGACCAAGGTTGGAGAGATCACCCAAACCATCTCTTGAGTTCCCATCAGGACCAAGGTTGGAGAAATTACCCAAACCACCTCCAACAACAAGACCCTGGGCAGAGCCATGGGAGATGATGATCCCATCAGGATGAGGCCTAAGGTTGGAGAGATCACCCAAACCATCTCCTGTATCCCCATCAGGACCAAGGTTGGAGAAATTACCCAAACCACCTCCAACAACAGGACCCCGGGCAGAGCCATGGGAGATGATGATCCCATCAGGATGAAGCCTAAGGTTGGAGAGATCACCCAAACCACCTCCAACAACAAGACCCAGGCCAGAACCACCAGGGATGGAAATTTTGGGGGGCGACCTACAGGGCCGATCCCAACACCCCCCCCCCCCGGATCAGGATTTACCGGGCGTCTGGAAGTTGAGGGCCACGAGTTGGCTCCCGCAGATCCACATGGGCAGCGGGTCGTAGTTGGAGGAATCCAGGCGCTGTCCCTTGGGATAGATCCGGCTCAGCTGGCGCCGGTTGTACTGCAGGAATTTCTTGCCCTTGCTGCGGTTGGCGTATTTCTCCGCCTTGGTCTCCGGGAAGGACGACATGTCCCGGTAACACGCCTTGTCCGTGCCGATCTCTGGAAGAGCCGAGGGGACCATCGGTGGAGGACGTCGGTTCCACCGCCCGCCTCGTCCCGCGCTCATCCCGTCCCACATCCCGCTTTTCCGGCTCTTACTGTCCTCGTCGAACGGCACCGGGCGGCAGTAGACGACCAGCTCCGAGAGCTCCAGCGCGATCTTCTTCCGCCGCTCCATGATCTTGCCCTCCTGCATCTGCACGGGGAAAACGGGATGAGGGTTCTTCCAGTGCCTTCCAGTTGGTCCCAGTTGCTCCCAGTGTGCCCCAGGTTGGCTCCCAGCACGGGCCCAGGAGCTCCCAGTAACCCCCAGTAAGGTTCTACTTCACACCCACTGTAATCCCAGTCTATCCCAGTACAATCCCAGTGTGATCCTAGTTACTCCCACTGTGATCCCAGCTACTCCCAGTATGGTTCCAGTCACTCCCGCTATAATCCCAGTCACTCCCAGCGTGATCCCAGTTGCCCCAGTTGTGATCCCAGTCCCCCCAGCATGGTTCTAGTGTCTTCCAGTGGATCCCAGCTACTCCCAGTATGGTTCCAGTCACTACCACTGTAATCCCAGTCTATCCCAGTACGATCCCAGTGTGATCCCAGCTACTCCCAGTATGGTTCCAGTCACTACCACTGTAATCCCAGTCTATCCCAGTACGATCCCAGTGTGATCCCAGCTACTCCCAGTATGGTTCCAGTATAATCCCAGTCACTCCCACTATAACCCCAGTCATTCCCAGTATGATTCCAGTTGCCCCCAGCATAGACCCAGTTACCAGAGCTCCCAGTAACCCCCAGTAAGGTTCTACTTCACACCCACTGTAATCCCAGTCTATCCCAGTACAATCCCAGTGTGATCCCAGCTACTCCCAGTATGGTTCCAGTCACTACCACTGTAATCCCAGTCTATCCCAGTACGATCCCAGTGTGATCCCAGCTACTCCCAGTATGGTTCC